AGATGATTGCAAAATATTTAGGGGTTGAAATGGACCAAAAACAGGAAATTTTGCTGATTTTTGCAGTTGAGTTTAGGACTGTTATGTAAGAAAATAGGAAAATTGCACTTAACCGCGAATATTTTTAATCACAGCCAAATCACAATACATTAAAAGGTCACTTCTGGCCAATACAGTGATGCTAATAGCCAAGATATCGGATATGTAGCAAAATAGATACAGTATACAGGGTGAGATGAAGAAACTGAAACCTGCAACAATTTTTTACATTTCTAAGCCACTCATCCGACAGCTGTTAAAATTAATCCAGTGACAGCTCTTAATATTGTTTACAAGCGTACAAAAGCATTTTTGTGAGAATTTTTCAGAAAAAAGTTATTTGTGATGGAATTCAAGCGTAATAGTGTGATTTCTTTATATTTAGCTGGAAAAACCACTCTCTCCACTCAGCATTTAAATGTTAATTAAATGTTTTGTGTCTCGTACCATCGCTCGTTACCGTGATGCTTTTAGCGTAGCCCGACGTCAAGGAAGTGGACGGAAGAAAACAGCAACATCAGCAGAAATGGTTCGAAAAGTAAAGAAGCGATTTGATCGAAACCCGCGTCGCAGTGGCCGAAAAATGGCTCGTGAGCTCAACATATCGCAAATATTAAAAATGAACTCGGGGTATAGCCATTAAAATTCCACCGCAACGGAAATGTTAAATGTTAATTAAATATTTTGTGTCTCGTACCATCGCTCGTTACCGTGATCCTTGTAGCGTAGCCCGACGTCAAGGACGTGGAGGGAAGAAAACAGCAACATCCGCAGAAATGGTTCGAAAAGTAAAGAAGGGATTTGATCGAAACCCGCGTCGCAGTGGCCGAAAAATGGCTCGTGAGCTGAACATATCGCAAATATTGAAAAATGAACTCGGGGTATAGCCATTAAAATTCCACCGAAAAAAAAGACTCAAAAGAGCTAAAGAGTTGCTTCGCTTGGCCGAAAGTGGTGACAGCCGAATTTGGGTTTCTCCGATGAGAAAACATTCGTTGTCCAGCAGTTTGCAAACAAACAATATGATCGTATTTACTTGCCAAATAGGTCAGCTGAAAATGTGCGCCTTCGGTTGGCCCACAGAACTCAAGCGCCGGCCATGGTGATGGTATGGGCTGCCATAACAGCCGATGGTCGCTCTCCGCTCGTATTAATCGACCGTGGCATCAGAATAAATACCGAATATTATCGCGAAAATATTGTGGACGGTGTATTAAAGCCTTGGGCATGCAGACATTTTGGCCGCAGACCTTGGACATTCCAACAGGACATAATTTGATGCTATTTCCGACATTTTTTGCTTTCATTCAATGAAATTCAAAAAAATGTAAAAATTATGGCTTTTGACTTTGTTGCAGTTTTTATTTTTATCTCCACCTGTAAATGTAAAAGAAAGAGATCTTAGTTATTCTCCTTATAAGCTAAGAACCCCAGGGCCGATTTTCACAACTCCCATCTATTCGAAAAGGATAAAATCTTAGAAAAATATACCAATAAAAAAGTGACAATCTTTTGTTCCACTTTTTTTTTTTTCAAATTTTATCATATTTTTTATCGCATGCGATTTTTTCAATTTGATTTTCAATTTTGAATTGTAAATTTTCTAAATTTTTTCTACACCCTGCAACATTACGTTTTGAGGGTATTATATACAGTTCGCAATTATCGTCCGATCCTCACGAAATTTTGCATGGGGGTAGGGTTAGGGTCAGATTTAAAGCCTATTGTTCTTAAGATGTACATTTAGGGGTTCAAATGGACTACAAAAATTAAAATTTTTCTAATTTTGTTTTGTAGTCGCTCTATAGGCCACAATTGAAAACTAATCGAAACGGTATTTTGCATCAGAAGAGAGTTAAGGATAGGGAAGAAGTCTAGCATTTTGGATGACCATTGGATTATATTTAACTGTAAGTTGGACCACAACTTTCGTGTGAAATTGTTTCGAATACCTAACAACATGACGTAGTGCATAAATATTGGGTAAATGTCCCCGGTTAAAACCCATCTGGGCAGGGCTCTATGACATTATTTCAAAAACGAAATCTTCCAAAATGAAATTGGATATAAGGGGCTTCCAACATATTGTAGTGCTGTAGGGTATTACGTGGTTGGCCCCGCATGACTCTAGCCTTTGCTTACTTGTTTTTGTATATTTTATTCCAGACTAAAAAACGTTATGTGGGTTATATGTATGAAACTCCCGATCAAGAAGAACCCGTCTATGAAGCAAAGGGTATTGAAACTGTGCGAAGAGATGGCTGTCCTATGGTCGCAAAGGTAAGGCAGTGGAAAACATTTGAAAGCTTAGCTATATTTCATTCCCTATGTATGACAGATGTTGGAAAAAGTTTTACGAATACTTTTCGAAACCGCTGACGTTAGCCAAGTGAAGCAATATGTTTGCAGGCAATTTACCAAACTGTTATCTGGACGTGCCAATATACAAGATTTAATCTTTGCCAAGGAGTTTAGAGGCATGAATGGCTATAAAGCCAATGCCTGTGTGCCTGCACTGGAGTTGACAAGGTAATGTGAACTATTGGTAAAATTAAGAGAAATTTATTAAAAATTGTAAATTGTTTTTATTGTGAAATATAAAGAAAATGGATTCAGACAGATCCCCGTCGCATACCGAGACGCGGAGAACGTGTCCCATTCATAATAACCAATGGGCCACCTGGTGTGCCATTGATTCGTTTAATACGTCATCCGCATGAAGTGCTGGCCGATGAGGGTCTCAAAATAAATGGCATATATTATATAACTAAGGCCATTATACCGCCCTTAAATCGTTGTTTGCTTTTAATTGGAGCTGATGTCAATGAATGGTATGTTTATTAGCAGGATAACTTATTAACATAATAATCTACTTCTACTTCCTCCTCGACTTCAAGGTTTGCAAATTTACCACGTAAAATCCTTATGACACCAGCTCTGTCATCGGCCAATGAGGTCATACCCTGTGGCAATAATAAATCAAAAAAAAGTACAATATCCCAATTCTTCTCCTCCACAAATTGTATGGTGGACTGTGGCCGACACACCAAACAAGGAATATGTGATGTTTGTTGTGGCAATCCGACACGTTCCATGATAATATTACAAGCGAAAATGTCCAAAATTGAAAAAGGATATCTGACGACGCAGCACATTTGTCAGGCATGTTGTGGTCGAGTTGGTGATTTGAAATGTAGCTCATTGGATTGTCCGGTGTTGTATGTTTTGGAAGTGAAACGTCGTGATTTGCAACAAATTGTACATTTTCGTAATTTAATTGAAGAGAAATTTTAGTTTTAGGGTTTTAATATATAAATGTATGCATGCTGTAAATTATTTATTATATGAAATTGTTTTGTAATATTTTTTTATGAAAAAAAAAATTATATTTTGCTGGCACAAAACTGGTCAATATTGACGTGGGTTTTTTTAATATTATCGGAGAAAATATTTTACGGCGCTCAACCTAAAAAAAGCTAGCATTTAAGGCAATCTGGCGCCCAACATGGCCCAATATTGTAACCCAACTTTTTGCCACAGCACCGACATGTCAGAATAATGCCGACTAAGTCTAACACTTATTTTAAGGCAGAAGGCATTGGGTCAAATGCCAAATGTTATGATATTGCACCCAATCTTAAGAGATCTCATAATTAGATGCAGCTATTAATTTTATAACATAAACGACACTTGAGTTCAATTTATGAACAAATTTTTTCCGAAACTACTTCCAGGCAAGAAATTTAATAAAAAAGAAAAAAAATGATTAGTTTTTCCCATGGTATAATAAGAAGGTAGAACAGCTTCGTAGGACAATTAAAAAAATGCGACCAATACTAATTGAGATCATTCTGAAAATTATTGAGCCACATAATGATTTGGATGACTCCCTCGTTTACATCCATTTAGGAATTGCATCGAAAGCATATGATTATGCTGAACTAAGTTAAAAATTGTAATATCCGTATGTAAATGGTACACAGGTGTCATTTTGTCAGATGTGAATACTTTTCTATTGTATTACACTCACGTTTGCAGGCCATACCGAATGTGAACCTTAGGATCTTGGGTATGCTCGTGGTCGGTATTATATTTCCCTCGACCTGCACATTCGGCTATGTTCTCATCACTGCAAATCAGGTGGTAAAGAGTGTGGCCGTTAAGGTTAAGGTAAGCTCAGCGAGCTGTTCAATCAACACCGGGGCTACATGCCATGATCCGCATACGTAACGATCTCTATGGAGGGCGAGGAATGCCCTGGGATGTGTTGTTTCGAGTCAATCCGGTAATTTGCTTCGCCAATTGAGAAACAATTTCAATTTAAAAAAAGAAAAAAAGTTATTCGTGATGGAATTCAAGCGTGATAGTGTGATTTCTTCATATTTGGCTGGAAAACTACAACTGGCTATCGTTAGAGCACTCCAGCATTTAAATGTGAATAAATCGTTTGTGTCTCGTACCATCGCTCGTTACCGTGATACTGATAGCGTAGCCCGACGTCCAGGAAGTGGACGGAAGAAAACAGCAACATCAGCAGAAATGGTTCGAAAAGTAAAGAAGCGACTTGATCGAAACTCGCGTCGCAGTGGCCCAAAAATGGTTCGTGAGCTGAACATATCGCAATATTCCATTCGGCAAATATTGAAAATGAGCTCGGGGTAAAGCCATTGAAATTCCAAAAAGTGCAAGAACTTACACCGCAACGAGAAAATAGTCTCAAAATGGCCGTTTGAAGGCCGTAATTCGAGCCAAAGGTGACCAATTCGAATAAATAAAAACCTATTCTAAAATTTGATGTTATTTCCGACATTTTTTTGCTTTTATTCAATAAAATTTAAAAAAAAGTAAGAATTAAGGCCTTTGACTTTGTTTCAGTTTTTTATCTCACCCTGTATACCTCTATATATTTAAAGGAATTCTCCACTTTCCTGATTTTGCAAGTATTAATAATACAAAATTGGTATTTTTATTTAAAATGTTTTATTCACAATTAAGGAAAAAGTAGTGTACATACATAATAATTTTTAATAAAAAAAAACTCTTGAGGTTTCTTCTTTCGTATGCAATCGATACAGTATTAAACGTTGTATATACTATATTTTTGTAAGGAATAACTTCAATATATATGTGTGTATGTATATGTGGCATAACATTAGAAATAATAATAATAAAAAAGATTCCTCATACAGGAGTACATACAATCTATATAAATGTGTTTGATATGAACAATTGTAATTGATGAATATAGAAGTGAACCCTATTTATATAAATATACTTCGTGTGTAGAACAAGCAGAAGAAACATTCATGTTCGTTCTCTTTTGTAAAACTCAAATTGATTTCATTTTCGTTTTGAAAAATTTCATATTTGAGGCATGCATGCACAAGAGGTTTTTCTTTTTTGTGGGGTAAATGTATGTTTTTTTTTTTTAATTTTTTAATAGAATTAACAAAATTTTAAATTTTATAACAATATTGGATTTTTCTTAGAGAAGAAAATGAAAATAATAATTACATATGATAACAAAAAAATTAAAAGTTTCTAACAATTTTTATAAAATTTTTAAAGTCTTTCTTTTAAAGTGCTGTGTTTCGCAAATAATATTTGGAATTTATACAACCGTTATATATTTATGTGTGTGTGTGAAAGGCAAACAGAAATCAAATTAATATAATTCTCTTTCTTTTTTTAATAAATAGAAAACAAAAATTTACAAATTGTTTAAAAGGGCCAAATGTGCTAACAAAAAAATTCAAGGGGATTGTGGGGATATTTTTTGAGCAATATATATACGCATGCATGTTGATGTTAGTGTGGGGTTTTAAGGTATTATTGTTGTATTCAAATACATAATTTGTTTCTTATAAGGCAATTATTACTCTTCCTATAGATGATGAATATTTAGATGTTTTCTTTTAAATACTCTGAAACTAGGATAACTATATACTAGCCTACTACAATATTTGTTGCTGTGTGTAATAACATTATTAAAATTACTTTCTCTAATAGCTAAGTAAACAATTTCAAATGGATATATATTGTGTATTGATGTATGTATGTTTGTTAATATGTTTTGATGAAACACGACGATTTGATTTCTTTTTCAAATTTCCATTCAATACAAAATTTTGTAGAGGACCACTTATTTTTAGTTTGCTCCATGGTTAGTTGGTGGGTGCTTTTGTTTTATAAATTTTGGAAAATCATTTTGGAGTTTGGGTTGCGCTTTACATGTCCATTTCAAACATCATAGCATTCTTGTGATTATCCACATCGGATGATGATTCCGACTCCAGCCGTGGTCGATTGTTTTTCTGATTCGATTTTTTATCCTTGGCCTTGTTGTTGCTATTCTTGTTGGTTGCTGCCGAAGAGACACCGTTATTGTTGCAGTTATTTTTCGTTTTCAAATATTGCGCACTGGAATTGGATGTTGGTAAAGGTACCATAGGCTGAAAAGAGATAAACATATATTTTTAAATATTAATTGATTTGTTGTTGTAATGGAAAGTACAATAAATTCATTTAATATTTAATGTGTTTATTCGAAAGACAAGAGAATTTTTCGGACATAAATATTTTATATCATCCACGACGGGAAAAACTTAAAGTTTTGAAAATATGTCGCGTCGGACAATTGGAACGCAAAATTTGTCAATGTAGCAAAATAATTGAAAACTAACTTTTCGTAACTTCAAATTGAACAATGCCGTTAAAAACAATTTGAATTGGCATTTCTATCTACAATCTATCTCGCGGTATATGAAAATATCCGCCACTAAGTCCACGGCCACACCCTTTCCTGCCTTGTCCGCGGAGATGTGAACACAGCTGAATGACCAGGTCAAGGGGAACTATCTGGGGGACATAGTCGACAAATCGTTTAAGTAGTTCGCACAAGCCACAGCTATCAGCGTTAAATTGAACATTAAGAACAAGGTTTACAAGACATTTAGAGCACGGATAAGAATACCTCGTTGACCCCTTATAAGGCGTAATGAGGAAGTATTTAGACAAACCACAATGCCGACCCAAGAACTTCTGTGGACATGACATGACAAGGCGAAGGTCCGATAAAAATCTAAAAAATACGGAATCTAACCGTTATATTACATTCTATACGACGACGTGGACCTGCATAGGCAACTTTTGTCACAAGCCATTACAATATTGAAATGCGAAACTTGGAAAAATCGGTTAATAATGTAGCTAAAATTATCAAAATATCGAATATAGGAAGGTACTGTCATATGTGGGCTATACCAGGTCCAAACGTGGACCTGCACAGATAATTTTCTGTCATAGGCTGTAGTATCCATTACGAACTTCAAATACCAAATTTGAAACAATTCCGGTGAATAATGTCGTTTAAATCGCCAAAATACCGAAAATAGGGAGGTACCTTTACATGGGGACTATACCAAAACGTGATTTACACAGACGGACAGACAGACGGATATCGCTAAATCGACATAGAATTTTATGCTGATCAAGGATATGTACTTTGTGGAGTCTAAAATGTATATTTTGAGGTGTTACAAAAGGAATGACAAACTTAATATACCCTCCATACTATGGTGGAGGGTATAAAAAGCTAAATTATTTTATTATCACAACGGATTAAATATCCCTATATTAAGTCTAAAATATTTATTATATTATAAAATAATGAAAAAAAAAAACATTTCTTTATCTGAAATATGCACCTTAAAACATATTTTGTTTATCAACAAATGACACATAATTTGTCATTTGTACCGGTTGGCGTTTGTTTTTAAGATAATAAAACCGTAGAACTAACCTACACCAAGTGTCCATATTTCACAAGCGCTTATGATTTAATCTATTAAATAATAACTATAAATATAGAATATAAATAGAAAACGAAGAAGAAGAAGAAGCATGTCCTATAAAATGCAAAGGAAAAACTGAACGGCATCCACATATTGCATTGATAAATTACACGCTATACCTTATATGAACACATCGTAGCGAGGTAGACATAGTTGGCTTAATGCCATCGATTTTCTATCAATTGTTGTTGTTTTTTTTTTTGTTTTTTTTTTGTTTTTTTTTTTCTTGAAAAAGGTCTGTTTTTTATTTGTAGAAGGGGGATGATACTATGTATGAAGATGTTATAAAAAATAAACACAACAACCATGATTTACTAAATAAATATTTTTGCCAAATCTACAAAACGAAGGATATAATAAACAAATCGCACGTCATCGTATTCGTGGCAACGGGCGCAGCAAGTGCAAATCATTAAATAAATAAATAACTAGAAAATTGTTGATAAACAAAAGACGCAAGACACGGCTAAACCAAATAGTGTCGAGTAATTTGAGACAAAAACAAATTTTAATGGGACCAATCAAACAAATGTACAAACGACTAACTATGGTTGGAGGAGGTAGATGATCGTTTGCCATTTTGGTGGCAATTTAATATATGGCCTTATGATGACACGTCCAGTGACGTGATTAATGATTCTGTTTCTTGATCAGATAAATGTGTTATAAATGAAATTATGGGGTAGATTTGCAAATTTCTCAGTTTATCGTCAATTTACCTTATTGTCTTCATAATCAGCGGAATCGCCTTCACTAAGACGACGTTGTAAAGCTCTTTGTTTACGATCACGACGTTTTTGATTCTTTTTGCGTTGACCCAAGATACTGGAATCCAATCTGAAAGAGAATAATGGAAGATTTTAGAAATCGGATAAATGATTTACGAAGGAAGACAACAATTTCAGATAAATAAGTCAATAATTGCCACGTGTCGTGGAGCTGATATTTCTGTCTACAATTTGGGGATTTTTTTTAACTATTCGGTATATCAGTAGTGCGATTCTCTAACTCATTTTTTTGAGTAACCGACGGACAAAATTTTAATAACTACTTTGATTCTGTTGGACAAATTTCGTTAATTACAGAAATCATAAGCAATTTAATTTTACAAACTTTTGTCGGTGACTCAAAAAATGAGTTAGGGAACTCCACTACAGGTCTATAAAAGTTCATATCTTTTCTCAGTAATTATTAATGATAAATGGCCTATTTGGATTTTTTCTCAGAAAATATCAACGATTTCAACGGCTTAAACCGTGGATACTTTTCACAATTTTAGAAATGCAATCTTATTTTTAAATGTCTTCTGATCAGAGGCACCATCGCGGATTTTTTAATAATATTTTTTAAAGACTTTTCGAACTGTCAGTCACATGAATATTTATATTATTTTTTTTTAAATGCGTATTCATAAACAAGCATAAACTCAAGGATTTTTCGTTAACTTCCAAATTTAGTTGGGACGGTCCGGCCTAGTCTTTCATTGCAAATCAATTTTTTTTCTTTTGCTTTTGGAAACTCTATAGTTCACCCACCCAAATATATACCCAGATGTTACTTACCTAAACACCTGCTTGCGTATAACTTCACTGAAGCGAACAGTTTTCTTACAACTTTCCGATAGACCGACAACATTTTCTTCGGGTATATCGCTGAATGATTGTGAAAAACGTAGAGCATTAAATGCATTTGCCATGCCATCCACTGAGGTGGAATAGGCCGACGATGAACACTCATCAATAGATGAACATGAATCGGTGAGGGATGGGCGGGGACCATAACGGCTATAGTGTTTCAAAATACCCTTATACGAACAGCTACCAGCACTGAGACTTATAACACTATCACGAGATTCAGAGAAACTGCGCTGTTTGTTACGTTGTTGCTGCTGTCCCATGCAGTTTAAATTGGCAGAATTAGATGATGATGATGATGATAATGCCGAAGGCACATTCATTGACGAGGATATGGGATGATGGGGAGGTTTCGATGATTTGTCACAACGTTCCGGTGATGAATCTTCATCATCTTCGTCGTCGTCGGCATCAACATCGGCTTCATTTTCAGTTATAACGTTGGAGGTCTTCTCCTGCTGCTGTTGGTCTTGCAGTTGTTTCTGTTGTTGATCTAGTTGATCCTGTTGTTGTTGTTGTTGCTGATATGCTTTAATGTCATCACAGGCAGATTCACTTAGAGAACGACGTTTTTTATTTTTACGTTTCTGTTTTTTATTTAGCTTCTTGGAGTTTTGTGTGGAGTTGTTATCAGCACTAGCACTGGTGGTACCATGACAATCTTCATCCTCCGTGGTGTTGGTATTGCATGTGGAATTTTCTGCCAAACGTGGTTTGATTTCTATATCAACTGATTTATCACACTCTGAACGTTCTATGGTTATGTCCATATTGGTTGGCTCTGTTAACAGATGTTTGGCCACCACCTTTTGCCTTTGCCTCGATTTATGGGCCATTTGGGTTTTACCATAAATGTAATACTCCTTGAGATGATCACTATCTAAACCAGCAAGATAGCTAGTTAAATTCTCGGCAGTTTGATTGAGATATATGTTTAGAATTACATTATTTTCCCAAGCCTCAGCTTCAACCTTGTTGATTTTCATTTCGCTATTGCTTTCGGTCAACTGAATGTAGAAGGCGTAGTAGGTGGGATAGTATCCCGACCCCACAGAACTAAATTGTACTTCTAAAGAATGTTCATGCTGTTGCATTTGTATGGAATCATCTTGGACATTACGCACCTGCAGTATCAGTGACATGGTGTTATCCAATACATTGCAGTCAAATTTGTTTGGAAGTTGATAGTCCACATTAGATTTGAGGAAACTATCGCCATCATTAGCAGCAACATTGTTCACAGCCTTCTGTAAAACTTCATCCAAGGGAGTAGAATTCAATTCCTCCACAGGAGATTCGGCGGTGCTCGACACCAGATCTTCATTGAGCATATCACTTTCCACACCACTATCTTCACGATTCAAATGTAACAACGATTCATGCATTTCTCGTTGTATGGCCAATGGCGTTTGTATTACAGGCAGTGTTATAACCAAATGTCTGGTATCCACATCAAATTTCGCCGAGCCGTTCTTATCATCAACCTTCAACGGCAAATCGAGGTTAAGGCGATATTTGGCCCCAGCTTTATCACTGAGCAAAAATATCGATTTTTCTGTTACATCTAATTGGCATTCATTGCTGGAATTCAATAGAGGCAGTTCTATGTCTACAACTAATTCCCGAGGTTTGGTGGCATTTAGTTTAGCATCTAATTCATTTGTATATTGACTGAGATCGACATCATGGCGATGTGTTAGCGTGTACTTTGGGGTGCAATATTCGGATTTTTTGTTCATGTTTTCCATGCTTTTCATGGGTAATATTTTGGGAGCTTCTGTATCGGCTGTGGGTTTTGCTGGATACATGTGCTCAAGGGGATGGGGTTCTTCAGCATCTTTAGAGGGGGTTTTTGACAGTTTACGTATCACAGTGGGTCTGGGCAAACCTTTGTATTGTAGTTTGGGAAATTTGATATTAACTCGATCCAGTGTTACCTGCAACGAACAAAAAGTCTTTAAACAAACAAGGCCATTTAAAATAGCATTCAACTAAACTTTACCTTATATTCCCTTTCCACGGCATCTAGTGCTGTATCAACCAGGCACTTATGGAAGGCTGAATTCTTTTCGGCCAAATACAAGGCATCAGGATGGAAGACAACATCATAGACGCAACAACGTTTCTTGTTATTATCGAAGTCATCACGTGGTGGTGCCTGGGCCATGGGAATGGACCAGCTCAATCCCTTTTGGCCGGTCGCATGATTCAGTGAGACCTGACTTGTGGGCTTGCCCACATGTTCGTTTTTGGCGCAATTTATAAAACATTTTTGTTCGCCATTCTGTGAGGTTTTAATAACAAACCCGGGTTGAGGATGGACAAAGATTACGTCGACGCCACGTTTAGCTTCAATTTGTTTGATTTCATCTTCATAGCGTTTGCGATTTTCTGGATCTTGGATCTCCTCAATATAGTCTAGAAATAATTTACGAAATTCTTCCTTTTTCAATGCCTCCGATATCCGTTCAAATTCGTCCTTTGTTATATCGAATTGAGATACTGATGCGGCAGAAGATGATGGAGGTGGTGCAGCGGTTCTCGTTGCTTTACAATTTGCAGTTGATAGTTGTGTAGTGTTTGAATTATGATGGGCGGTAGATGGGATCGTTGTAGCAGAGGACATAGCCGATCGTTTTTCGTATGCAGTTTTATGGTTTCTATTTTCAACAGATGTTTTTGTATTTCAGGCAAGCGATCCGTTTTGAATTCTTTTGTTAACCAAATCAAATGAGAGACAGAGTTATAGCAAGCGCTTTTCGAAAATATTTTTTTTTGACAACAAAAATTTGGAATAATTTTATTTTAATAGTGTTGCTCCCTTTGCTGTAATTTTTCTTTTATCTGAAAATATAAAAAAAAAACATTAAAGAATTAGTCAATAATAAATACTTGAAGATAATTCATAATCATTTGTGCTTTATTTATTTTATGATAGTGGAACATGTGAGCTGGGCAGACCCCGGTAAGTGTTGAAAGAAAATTTAATCTTATCAATGGAATACAAAATTCGGCCTTGTTTGGTCTATTGTATTTGTTTTTAGAAAAAAAAATATTCTAGATTTTGACTCTTTTTGTTATTGAAATGACACAATTTCGCCGTCAATGTTGTGCCGAAACGTCATTTTCAGTTTCCCCGATCACCGTTAACAGACGATAGCTACGTGACTCAGTGAATAGTTTAAAAAGAAGTGTTCATAGCTCTAGAAACAAAAAAAAAAAAAAAAAAAAAAAATCCATAGGACGCATCTATTTCCATTCTGAGACATGGAGCTTTCTCTATGACTTTCAGGACTCATTTTTGACTCACCACCATTATATGGTATGGCAATCAGAACCGATGCCTTTGATATGGAATCCATTTTGAAACATGGAGCTTTCTCTATGACTTTCAGGACACATTTTTGACTCACCACCATTATATGGTATGGCAATCAGAACCGATGCCTTTGATATGGAATGATATGTATTATAAACAGGATGAGATGAAAAAACTGCAACCAACTTCAGACTGCTGTAATTATTGCAGTGGCACCTCGTTATATTACAAGCGTACAAAAGCATTTTGATGAACATTTTCCAGGTAAAAAGTTTTTCGTGATGGAATTCAAGCGTGATAGTTCGATTTCTTTATATTTAGCTGGAAACCCACAAGAGGCTGTCGTAAGAGCATTCCAGCATTTAAATGTGGTTAAATCTTTTGTGCCTCGTACCATCGCTCGTTACCGTGATACTGGTAGAGTAGGCCGACGTCAATGAAGTGGACGGGAGAAAACAGTAATATCAGCAGAAATGGTTCGAAAAGTAAAGAAGCGACTTGATCGAAACCCGCGTCGCAGTGGCCGAAAAATGGCTCGTGAGCGGAACATATCGCAATACCCCAGCTCGGGGTAAAGCCATTGAAATTCCAAAAAGTGCAAGAACTTACACCGCAACAGGAAGAAAATATGCTCAAAAGAGCTAAAGAGTTGCTTCGCTTAGCCGAAAGTGAACTGCCGAATTTGGTTTTCTCCGGTGAGAAAACATTCGTTGTCCAGCAGTTTGTAAACAAACAAAATGATCATGGTTACTTGCCAAAGAGGTCAGCTGAAAATGTGCACCTTCGTTGACCACCAGAACTCAAGCGTCGGCCATGGTAATGGTGTGGGCCGCCATTACAGCCGATGGTCGCCCTCCGCTCGTATTAATCGACCATGGCATCAGAATAAATGCCGAATACTATCGCGAAAATATTCTGGAGGGTGTATTAAAGCCTTGGGCACGCAAACATTTTGGCCGCAGACCTTGGACATTCCAACAGGACTCAGCACGCGCCACCTAAGAATGATTACAAAATGAGGGGCCTCGCTTCATTTCCAGCGCACACTGGCCAACAAAATCTCCGGATACTAATCCGTTGTATTATTGTGTCTGGAGTATTTTAGAAAGCATGGTTGGCCTTAAAAAATTACCAAAGTGTCGATCACCTCAAGCAAGCGCTTCACCGGGAATGGGCCAAAATACAGCAGAGCAACATTCGGGCAGCGTGTGACGGTTTCATTGGGCGTTTGAAGGCCATAATTCGTGCCAAAGGTGACCAATTCGAACAAATCTAAACTTATTCTAAAATTTGATGCCATTTCCGACATTTTTGGCTTTCATTCAATAATATTTAAAAAAAAAATTAAAAATTAAGGCATTTGACTTTGTTGCAGTTTTTATCTCACCCTGTATATATTACATACATTACTAGTGCGAGTTCTATCTTCAAACCTTTATAGATATGTGCCATCGCCTGAGATATGATAGAAAAATTCAATACTTTTCAGATACTGTAAGGTGTTGTGTAGTTGTTAACGTTTGAGTGTGAAAACATGGAGCGCTTGGCCTCTAGATCTCATTATTATAACATAGTGTAATGAAAATTATCGCCACCTTGTTTTTGATTTACCTAATATGTTATCAATCTAATTATCTTTCAATTAAATATTATGTACGAAATATTTTCGGTGGAAAAATACCAACAACTTTAATTAACACAGTTTTTTGGTATTTATTTAAAATATTTATCAATTGACAATAATACACGGCTTAAGCACATTGTTTTATTTAGACGAAAATTTTTTTATAGGTCATAGGGCGAACGTTTTTCACTTTTTGAGGAAAGCCCTTTTGTCACATTTTATCATTACGAGCAAGCAAAACTCTTCTCTTTTAATTTTGGGTTTTTTAATTACTTCTCTTATTTTTAGGCGGCTTTTTTAAAACCGGCTTTAGCAAAAATGATTTATTTTTTTTTTGCCGGTGGGTGTTTTCTCAAACTCAAAATCAAAACACAAAAAAAAAAAACGTATGTATTCACAACACTTACGCAATTCAATATTTTCAAGCGAAATAAATAAAATGCGTCTCAGAAAAATATACTAAAAACTCGTGGTAAATACTCGCAACGAGCAGGGGAGCGTGTGTTGAAAAAATTCTTAATGTTTTCGCTATGAGCGAACAGCAGTGAATAGATTTCAAAATTGGACTGAGAATATTAGACACAAAATTGTTACCGGTAACAATCAGATAGCTAGCCAGCCATCCAGTCAGCCGGCAGAAAAATAAACCACGACAACGGCGTATAGCAAAACAAACGAAACGACAATTTAAAATTTATATAGACAGACACATGTTAACATATCTGTCGGTCTGTGGCGTACGTCACATACGTAGATATATGTAAGGAAAAATGTGTGCTACAAACAAAACAATTAAATAGAGATGGAATAGCGAGAGACAGAGAAAAAAATATAATAAAAAACACAACAACAGTGAAAAGAAAGTAGAAATAAAAATAAAACAATGTGAAATACAAACAAAATACAGCGATGCAAAGTAGCATGTACAAAAGATGGATTTGTCCTCAATTTTTATAACCTGCAGAGCAGCGCCCAAGTGAGGGGGATAGTTTTTGATATTTGTTAGGAATATTTTATTAGGACCACCAGAACTATTATCGTAGGGTTAAAAACAATTTTTAGCATCACCTTAAAGGTCCTCCTAAGGATTCAAGTGGCTATCAGAAGTAATTTGTTGCATCTATTAAAAATCTCAAATGAGTATCAGATCATTATCAGCACAATTTTTTCGTTTAAACACATTCCATGTACTTTATTAATGTGTATGCTTTTGATTCATTTAATTATCAAAATAATATCATCTAGTCATGAAAAAGGGATATATTGGTTGTCATGCTTGTATGGCCCCTTTTTCCCAAATACATATGCCCCCTGTCGTTCTAATGATATTTCAAAATAATATCTGAACAATTAGATTCATATATTTCGCTATATCTCCGATTTCTGACTTTATACGTCAGCGAAACCCGATAGTCGATAGTCAAGCAGCCCTAAAAGCGCTAAATTCATCCACCATCAATCTCCCCTGGAGTGCAGAAATGCTCTGGAAAGAGTATAAAGCTTTGTTGGGTTCCTGGCTTTGGCAATATCTCTGGCAATGAAGCTGCGGATGAATTGACAAGAAGTGGCTCCGAGTCAGCTGTTCTAGAGATTGAGAGCTTCCAGATTATACACAAGCACTATTCTGGAAGATTTCAGCATAACTGGCAAAATGCAAAAGGCTGTATTGCATCCAAAAACATTTGGCCGGTAATCTCCGAAAGGAGATCTCTATCACTAATTTCCATGGTGAAATCGGACCTACAAAATTATAGTAGGCTTAATTACATGTCACTGTTATATTAGGCCTATGACTTCCAAGTGGGGGTGGGAAACGATATTGACTATTGTAGGCTTTGTCAAGACGAGGAAGAGACAGAATCTGCGGAACACTCTTTTTAGAGTCAAACTGAGGCTGACTGACGGGTAAGCAAACTCTGCATGATCGGTCTTCACTCTCTAATACTGAGCCGTCAATTATTCTTCAGCCAGCTAGAAGACTAAAATGGCTAAAGACAACACGATAAATTCTTCGTGGATATACCCTTCTTTCATAAGTCTTTTTCTAATCTCTTATTTTTCTATTTGCACTCCAACAGGATGATCACAATGGACCAGCAGGTCTCCGAGTGGAGCGGTTGCTAAGCAACCACGCATCCTCTAACTTAACCTAGTACTACTTTCATAATCAGCTGGACTTCCCTGTATTTATGAAAAAAATTTCGCACAATGTTATTTTTTTGTCATCGGTGTTAATTTTTATTTAATCTTACAATTATAGTGTATTATCTTGTTATTTGTGTACAATATTTAACTATTTCATAATTCTCTCACACAAGAATATTGACCTGACGATGTGTCCTTTGACAAAGGACTTTTATGGTTGTTGTTTGTTCATACCACGTGTTTAATTTACTTGTGGATGACAAAAAAGTGGCGTACGTGAAAAACTCAGGGAAAATGTCTCTTTTGTTTTTCACCAAAAAACAGGTGTTGTTTTTTATTAAATCTTATGTATATATGGACGTACGCACAAAACATATACTATATATACATATATAATTGCGACAGAATAACAAACATATAATAAAAATAGTAAACAACAACGTCTGATTAACGATACCACTGCGTTGTTGTAATATCATTGGCTGGCAAGCCGTTTAGAGACTTGAGCTATTTGGGGGCACATCACCACGCAATACATTCATTATCAGCTGACTGGCTGGCTGACGGTTGTCCACATTTTCTTTCGTTTTGTTTTCGTTCTTCATAGAATACAAATAGCGATAGAACAAAATGTTGCACTGAACAGGAGAGGGAGTGGCAGAAAAAGTAACATTTACGGTATGTATCTTTAAGTAATGATAGAAAATTCGAAGTTGGGAGTAGGTGGTGGAGGTTTTGTTAGCATTTAAAAACAAT